AGGAACCCAACCGAAGAAAAACAGAGCAGCAGCAACACTGAGCAGAGAGACCGCGTGGGGCTTCCCCTGAAACTTCGGAAGGACCAGGCTTTACCGGGAGAGACCATGCCCCAGAAGGACAAGCAGACCCAAGCAGGCCGACCCTCACCATGCATGAAGCCGATCTCAGGGTGACTGTCCAGGTTTTAACACTTCAGAGAAGATCATAGAAGCCAGATAGTTTAAATACACTCACAGACTTCAAGGAGAAGTAGTCTTACCAACTTCACTACAGATGGGGACCCTCACACAGAAGGGAAACTAACGATGGAACAAATGGAAATGCTAAAGCTGAAGACCCCGGGACCCATAACGGGAAGCCCCCTGCGTGGCTGGCAAAACAAACCAGCCAGTTGGGGGAACAGAGAGTGGGGGACGTGGACAGTCTCAGCACCGGGGGGACACATCCCTCAGCCCGATGCGTGTGAGTGGAGACCCGGAAGTTGTGAAGAGAGAGGGAAAACAAAAAGATACTTCAGAAAATTTCCCAAATATGGTAAAACCTATCACTTCACAAATCCGAGAAGTTCTAACCAATCTCTTAAGTACAAAGGAGAGCACACAGATTGCTGGAATCCAGAGAGAAAGAGGAAAACTGAAAGCAACAGAGATAGCAGACACTCTGCACAGGCAACAGCAGCGCACGTGGTCTCCAGCTTCTCGCAGAGGTGGCGCAGGCCCCGAGACAGTGGGACACAAGCCTCGTGAAAGTGCTTGAAAGCATAAGATGTCAATCTGCCAGAATTGGCTTTCAAATACGAAGTCCAAGGAATGACCTTTTTGGAGGAACAAAAGCTGAGAGGGTTCAGTAGCAGCCCCAGGGAGTTTTTCGAGCCTAAGGGAAGCACCACCACGCAGTCACTCAAATCCCAGGAAGAATAAGAACTGCTGGACGTGGTAAATGGGAAAATCTATCTTTTCTTCTTTTTTTTTTTTTTTTTAAGGATTTTATTTATTTCTTTATTTGACAGACAGAGATCACAAATAGGCAGAGAGCGAGCAGGGAAGCAGGCACCCCGCTGAGCAGAGAGCCCGATGCGGGGCTCGATCCCAGAACCCTGGGATCATGACCTGAGCGGAAGGCAGAGGCTTTAACCCACTGAGCCACCCAGGAGCCCCTATCTTTTTTTCTTCTTAACTTACTTACTGGCTGTTAATGTAAAAATTATAACATTGGGTTATATGGCTTACAATGTATGCAGATTTTAAATATTTGACAGCAGCACAGAGGATGGTGGGGGAGAAATTAGGCTCTTGCAACATTGTGATATTTTATGTGAGGTGGTACATTTTAAATTCTAAGTAGACAGAAAAATGTGTATTATAGTTATAAGAGCAACCACTTAAAAATACCAGAAGGTATAGCCAAAAAGCTAGTGAGCAAATTAATATATTAAAGTTGAATACTAAAAAACAGTTGATGCAAAAGAGGAGGGGGAAAGGAAAAATAGATTTTTTATTTATTTTTTTTTTTTTAAATGGCTCAGTCGGTTAAGCAGATATCTGCCTTTGGCTCAGGTCATGATCCTGGGGTCCTGGGATCAAATCCTGCATGAGGCTCCCTGCTCCACAGGGAGTCTGCTGCTCCCTCTCCCTGCTGCCTCCCGTGTTTGTCTCCCCTTGCTTCTTCTCTCTCTCTCTCTCTCTCTCACTCTTGTTCTATCTCAAATAAGTAAAATCTTTTAAAAATATAAAAATAAACTAAATAGATGGAACAAATATAAAATAAACAGTGAAATGGTAGACCTTATAACCAGCACACAGTTGGGCCTGGTTTTTTATCCAGTCTGACAACCTCTGCCTTTTAAAAGTAGAATATTCATTTCCTTTACATTTAATGTACTTCCTCATATAAGAGGATTACCTTCACTATTAAAACATAGCCTAAAAATAAGGGAATGGGAAAGGATATCCTATGCAAATCATAAGCAAATGAAAATTATTGCAGTTACATCAGTATCAACAAATCAGTATCAGTAAGGTAGACTTGAAGACAAGAGTGATTATCAGGAATAAAGAAGGTAGATAACACAGGCATTAAGGAACTTTCTGTACTGATAGAAATATTTTATGTATTGGTAGGATGGTGTTTACATGGATGTACATAAACATTAGTCATTTTATCAAAACTTAAGATCTTTTATCTAACTTAACCGACTAAGCCACCCAGGTGCCCCAAGATCTTTTATCTAACTTAAGATCTTTGCATTTCTTTACATAAATTTTACCTTACAAATTTAAATGCTAAAGAAAACCAAAAACCCAGCAACCTTGTAAAGGATGTTGTCAGTGTAATAACATCAAAAATGAAAACCAAAAATTATATATCTGATAAGGGGTTAATACCCAAAATAAACAAAGAACTTACACAACTCCGCACCCAAAAAGCAACAACAAGAAATAATCTGAGTTTTAAATAGGCAGAGGAACTGAAGAGACATTTTTCCTAAAAAGATATACAGATGGCTAACAGATATATGGAAAGATGCTCAACATCACCAGTCACTAGGAAAACACAAATCAAAACCATGAGGAAATATCACCTCCCACCTGTCAGAATGGCAAGTATCAAAAAGACAAAGAGGGGCGTGTGGATGGCTCAGTCGGTTAGGCATCCGACTCTCAGTCCCAGCTCAGGGTTTGACCCTCAGGGTCATGAGTTCAAGACCTACACTGGGCTCCATGCTGGGTGTGGGGCCTACTTTAAAAAAAAAAAAAAAAAAAGACAAGAAACAGCAAGTGTTGGCGAGGATGCAGAGAAAAAGAAACCCTCTTGCACGGTTGGTGGGAATGTGAAATGGTGCAGCCACTGTGGAAAACAGCATGGAAGTTCCTCAAGAAATGAAAAATAGAACTACTGTATGATCCAGTGATTAATTCCGCTGCTGGGTATTTACCCAGAGAAAATGGAAACACTAATTCAGCATTGTTTGCAATAGCCAAGAATATGGAAGCTGCCCACGTGTCCATCAAACGATGAATGGATAGGGGTGTGCTGTGTTTGTGTGCAGGATGGAGTATTTCTCAGCCGTTTTTAAAAAAATGAGATCTTGCCATCCGCAGCAACATAGATGGAGCTAGAGGATATAACGCTGAGTGAAATAAGTCAGAGAAAGACAAATACTGTATGATTTCACTCATATCTGCAATCCAAACCATAAAAAGGGCAGAAACAGTGCCATAGCTACAGAGAACAAAGCAGTGGTTGCCGGGAGGAAGGGCGGAGGTAGGGGAGGTGGGCAAGAATGGGTACAAGAGAGTGGAAGGTGTGGGCTCCCAGGCACGGAGTGAACAAGTCACGAGGGTGGCAGGTGCAGCAGGACGAATGGAGTCCGTGATTGCGATGAAGGGGGCGGATTGGTAGCTCTGTAGGTCCCCATAGGGACTGCAGCGTAGCACATAGACCTGTCCCGTCACCATGTGGTACACTCGAAGCTAACATAGCACCGTGCGTCCGCTCCACGTAAAATGAATGGACGGAGTGAAGGAAGGGAGTGAAAGGGAAGCTGATAGCATCCCCGTTGTGCTCTCCGCGTGCTCCCCCTAGCCCTCCTGTGAAAGTCAGTCCAGAGTCTTCTCCATCTAATAACGTTTCCTATGCTGCAGTGCTTTTTTGCTTACAGTCCTTAGTTTTGTTGTATTCTCTCTCCAACTTAATATATTTTATTGGAAGTTATCTGGCTTTCATCCCAGTGGCAGAGTTTTCTCACAGAGAGTAGGAAAGCTTCGCACGTGTGGACACCTGGTCTGGCATGTTAGTTTCATGTCGCCTCATGCTTAAACATCTCTTCCTTGCTCACCAGTTCCTGCTACCTACAGGGCACCGGGCATCAGGCTCCAGAGCTAACATGGTATACGCTAAGCAGACATGCTCTCTTCCCTCTCGGAGTTTACAGTCATAATTCACTCTCTGTTGCAAAACTCAAATTAACTTAAAAGTTGAGAAGCCAGAGGTTAAGCTCATTGGATAAGAAGTTGCAGAATCTGTCACTCTGTGTGCGACTTGTATGGTGCCCCAGATGCCTCCCTCTGATGACAGATCCTGCCTGTACTCGGGGGTCAGCCTCCGGAACAGAGAAGCAGGATGAGAGTGCAGGGCTATCTCATCAGCCCCAGGGGTTAGGTTTCAAAGTCAGGGTCTAAGACAAAGATCTGGTAGAGGTAAACTGCTTCTCTGCAAGCTGTCATTGCAGCCACCAAGCAGGACGCCCAGGATCGGCACTGACCGGGTAAAGAGCCGCACACTTTCCACTTTTTCCATCTCGCGCTCATCAGGAGATGCGGTCTGTTGACTGAGCCCTGCGGTTATCCCTCTGCCTCCCCTTCCAGTCCCTTCCCTCCCTTCATCAGGTAGGGGTGAGGGGCGGTTTGTAGGAAGGGGCCACACACACAGTGAAATTCATGTAAATGAAATGAGAGCTGTACCCACATTTGGGAATTGCCACGTGTGCGGATATCAAACAAGCGAGTTACAAACTCATCCAAGTAGTGAATGTAAATGTGTACTCATTTCGGTGGTACAATCAGCATTTAGATTACAGGCTTATCTTTACGGCACCCAAATGCAGCCACTTCTCTGGAGAACTATTTACAGCATTATTTTTATCTCCTAGATAGTTTGGGAAGCCAAAGTTTAAAGGACTATTGAACAAATGAATTCGGGAATTATAACACTGAGTTCAGTTAAAAAGCCTTTTTAGCTGAAACAGTTGGTTATAGCCCCATATTTAATTCCTATAAAACTGTATTGTAAACCATCTTCTGAGAGACGGCATTACGGGAAGAGTTTCTTGCCCTTGGTAATTGCCGCTGCGTGTGCCGTAGGCGCAGTGTCATCTGCTCAGGCTTAAGAGAAAGATTACCTTTCATGCAGGCCCGCCCGCTGGGCTTAAAAGTCTGGTGAGAAACATCTTTAACCCGCTTTCCCAATTTTGTTGTTTCTTTTTCCCCCTTCTCTGCAGTTTCGTGCCTTAGCACCAATGTACTATCGGGGCTCGGCTGCGGCCATCATTGTTTATGACATCACAAAAGAAGTAAGCCTTTCCGTTTGCCTTAGACTGTTTTGAAAGCTCCCTCTCGGCTGCTTCGGCCTCCGGTCGCTATTCCTGTTCTGTGTTCCAGGAGACATTCTCAACCCTGAAGAACTGGGTGAAGGAGCTCCGGCAGCACGGCCCGCCCAACATCGTCGTTGCTATTGCTGGGAATAAGTGTGATCTTATCGACGTCAGGTGCGTTACGAGACCAGGAGATGACCGTGCTGATGATGTATGTGTTCCCTTTCCTCCTGAGCAATGTCCAGTATGAGAATCTGGCTTTTACTTTATCTCTAACATTGAAAAATTCCTTTTTGTTTAGTTGGAGTCCTAAAGTTTCAAACAAAAATTAAGAGTTCAGACATTTGGGGCTGATTAGGTGGGAGGGGCACAGGTATATGGTTTATGTGAACTGTGCTTACATCATACTTGACATTGTACGAGATGAGTGTAGCCCCCCAGTTCCCAGGACATCAGGGGCTTGAGTGGGGAAAACATACATTCTTTAAGAGAAACACATTCACTGGCAATTTCTCTGGACCACTCCCATGATTCCCAAAGCAATGACTTGACTTTGGTGGGGAAAGAAACCCTTGCCATTCTGCAGTCGTTCCATCACACGGATGCCTTGCTAGTAGTGCTGAGTTCAGGTTTGTGCTGAGTAACCACGGAAATGGTGTGGTTCTCAGGGCTTGGTCACTAGCTGTTCATGACATCCTTTGGCATCACGAGCCCGGTTAATTACTGGGTAGGTGGGGGTAACGTAAAGCTCTTGATGGGTAGAATTTCTGATTTGCGGTTGTTGCTTTCCAGAGAAGTCATGGAGAGAGATGCTAAGGACTACGCCGACTCCATCCACGCAATTTTTGTGGAGACCAGCGCGAAAAATGCGATAAACATAAATGAACTCTTTATAGAAATTAGTGAGTATCTCTGTGCCCTCTGGGTTTTCTCTTTGCCAAGCGGCTGCATGCAGAATTACACAGCTGGGGAGAACTCCCTCAGCACATCCAGTGGTCTGGTCTCTGCCATTGTTCTCAGCGGAATGAGGTGGGAGAGGTGGGAGAAGGTAGGAGTGGCGGTCTGCTCTCAAATTATGTTGTAATTGCTGGGGAGCTGCTGTCTGGACTGCAGCCCTGAAGAGTGTTGTTACCGAGCAAACAGTGCGCGGGGCCTCGAGGTCCTGGTAGCTGCCACCTCTCCGTCAGTGTCTCTTTAAATGTGTCTCAGTCATCAAAAATGAACAAGACAATAAAGGGAAAGGAAATGCAAATGTGACTTCACTGTAAGGAATCCCTCAAAAATGAACACCAGGCAAGGAGAAGGTAGGGCCTCCCTGGCCACCCTTCCCCCTTCCCTTTCCAGAAGTGTTACCACGATGCCGCTAGATGCGAGGAGGCTGCTGCATCCCTTTGGGATCCTCTTCAGATTGTATCTGTGTTTATTCATTTCATTCAAATTCATCAAAATATTTATTGAGAACGGTTCCAGGCTCCAGGGAGACCGTGGTGAACTAGACAGGCGCAGCCCCATCTCCCGAAGCTCATGTTCTGCTGCAGGAGCCAAGCAGTGAGCACGGAAGCCAGTAAGATCCCTTCAAATGATGCACAACGACACGAAAAACATAATTTGGGATGAAGTGAAGGAGTGTCTGTAGGTGGTCAGGGAAGGCCTCTTGGAGCAGGCGGCATGGGAGCTGAGATCGGATAGAGCAGGCTCTGCAGAGATCTGGGGTTCATGCTGACCTGATGGTAGCAGACTTCCAGGTGGAGAACAGGAGAAAGCCGACAGGGCATGGTGAACTTCCTGGGTGAGGTCAGAGGTGACCGAGGCTGGAAGCTCACTTGGCCATCATGTAAAGGAGGGAGTGCAAAATCCAGCACCCCCCGGGGCCAGGCAGGGACAGGCCACCAGCACTGGGACATGGGAGCAGCAGAAGGCCCCAATGATCCCAAAAGCTGGCACAGGTGGGTCCTGCTGCAGCAGGTGGGGTCACCATGGAATAGAGGCTCCTGGTTGTCCAGTCAATTACTGAGGTTATTTTTACCTTTTTGGATGATTTTAATTTGTTCGGAGATCTGGATTTTATGTAACGTCCCACTGTTTAGACGTGGCCATTTGGATATTTTCAAAGCCTTTGCAGGCCGATCAAGCCCGTCTGGCACCATAAGGGGCCACTGCCTGCTGGCCCACAGTCTCTCGTCCAGGCCCTTCCCTTCAGCATTTGAAGTCATGATGTCTGTTGTCTTCCTCGACTGTAAAGAACAGCCACCCAGATGCAGGCTTGAAAGGCAGCCTGAGGCCGAACCAGAGTTTTTCAGTTCGAGCTAAAATATCTTAAGTGCATGGTGTTGTGAGTGCGCCAGACTTACTGCCGCTTCCTAAGCATCCTGTACTCCAGCAGTATTCAAAACAGGAAGGTGGCGAGTTATGCCAACAATGAAAATTCGTATATAAAAACTAGCGTGTACATATTCATTTTAACTGCGAAAAATAAAAAAAAATATGTTCACAAAGATTAGAAAAATTTAGAGAGAAGTAAATTGAGTTTATTGTTTACTGGGTGTTGTAAAATTGCATTAGCACAATGCCTGGCATGCTAACTTTTTATTGAAGTGTAATATACATGCAGAAGGGTGCTTAGAACGATAAAACACAAGGAATTTCCACAGAGTCCACTCCTGCAGTTGGCGCTTAGATCTAGACCCAGATGTACCTCAGAAGCCTCCCCATGCCGTTCCAGTTTCTCCCTGTCCCCATGCCCCCAAGGGAAGCGCGGTCCCGATGGCTAGCTCTTCAGATTTGTTTTGCCTGTTTTTATACTTTATGGGTTGTTGTTGTTTTTTTAAAACATACTTTCTGTCCTCTGTGCTGTCTGGCTTCTTTAGCTCTACGGTACATGTATTAGCTCTGTCCATATCACCGCATGACTCATCCTCATTACCGTGGTGTGTGCGCGAGAAGTGGGCCAGAATCTCCACTGTAGGTATCCGTCCTGTTCATAGCTCCGTGCGTAGCTGCTTGTAGTGCAGAGCTGTGGCACCCAGTACCTCTGAGCGCTCACATCAGACCCGGTGTGCACGCTCTGCGGTCACATGTTTGTCAGGTCTATTTATACCCCAAAAAAGAGTCACTGAGTCACTGGGTGTGCAGGTGTTCAGTAGGAGGTCTTCAAAGTGGTTACACCAGGGGCACCTGGGGGGCTCAGTCCTTAAGCGTCTGCCTTTGGCTCAGGTCATAATCCCAGGGTCCTGGGATCGAGACCCCACATCGGTCTCCCTGATCAGCAGGAAGCCTGATTCTCCCTCTCCCACCCCCCTTGCTTGTGTTCCCTCTCTCGCTGTCTCTCTGTCTGTCAAATAAATCAATACATAAAATCTTACCCCAAAAAAACAAGAACAAAGTGGGTACACCAGCAGACACTCACACCAATGGCAGATGGAACCGCAGTCACTCCGTGTCTGCTGTGTAATCGTAAACTGCATTTATCATCAACGGTTAATAAAGTTGAGCCCCTTTCTGGGTATTTATTTATTTTTATGTGAAAATACCTGCATATCCTCTTTTGTGAACTTTTGCCTATTTTCCTTTTAGGCTGCCTGCCTTTTTCTTAATTATGTGTATAGTTTCTTTTGGATACGAGTCCGTCGTTGATTGTGTGTGTAGGAACGCTCTGCTGTGCGACTCGAGCTGCATTTGTGAGTCCGCTGTCTCGCAGAGCTGCAGCTCTTCGTTTCGATGTGATCTGGTTTATCCTCCTTTCCCTTCACAGTCGGCACTTTCGGGCTCTCGGTTAAGAGGTCACGGTCTGTTCTGCAGGTCCTCAAGGTGTCCTCTGCTTTCTTCCAAGATTATTGCAGCGGTGGCACTGTAATACCAGCTGGATTTCCATGATCTGTTTATTAGAAATATGTAACAACAAGAAGCTTCAGGAAAGCTATTGTGTTTTTTTTTTTTTAAGAATTTTTATTTTTACTTGACGCAGAGAGAGCACAAGTAGGTGGAGTAGCAGGTAGAGGGAGAGGGAGAAACGGGCTCCCTGCTGAGCAAGGGCTCAGCAGGGAGCCCGATGTGAGGTCGATCCGGGATCCTGGGATCATGACCTGAGCCGAAGGCAGAGGCTTCACTGACTGAGCCGCCCAGGCGCCTTCAATAAAGCTTCTGAATAAATTCGCAGTTTATTCACGGTATCTACAGGTATTTGAAAAGTAGCTGTAGGACATTCTGGGGGACATCACGTGTAGACACATGCTGTGTACTACCCTCCTGGATTTTCAGGCTGTCCCAACATGTTAGAGGCCCCAGGCTTGGTGGCCAAGGAACTAAGAATTGGCAGATTCCATCTCAGCCTTGGTAGTGCCACAGGACACATGTGTCCATTCATTCCTTGCTTTCAGAATACCTTAGTGCATGGTACTGTGCCAGACAGCTACCAGAAACAGAGGACCTTTTCCCTCGAAGAGCTTGAGGTCTAACCCTAATTCTTAGGGTCTAGCTCTGTAGGCAAATAAGTGACGTGCTTCTGGCCTCTGGCCGAATTTAGTGTGGGAGGTATTGGAGAGATCTAGGAAGTGAGAGGGCATCTGGAAGGCCTTTGTGCTTGGACACAACCCTTGCTTTATGGGCTGGGTGGGTGGATGGTGATTTGAGGTTTCTCCTGAAATTGACATTATGTTTCAGGGAGCAGTGAAGTGAAACCTGTTCATTCTCATGCATTGTTGGTAGGAGAGTAAAGTGGCACAGCCTCGTCAGAGAGCAGTTTGGCAGCATCTGTCAAACTCTAAATCGCATGTCCTTCTTGCATTTGTGCTAGACCACACTGGGAATACGGTGTTTGTGCCAGATACACACCCAGGAGTAGAATAGCGTGATCCAGTTCTTCCACTCCTGTGTATCGTACACATCGGCTCCCAGAGATACTTTTTGCATTGTCGTTAACACCAGCACAACGTTGGAAGCAGACTGGGTATCCGTCAACGTGAATGGTTCAGTAAATGACGGGACATCGCTTGGCGCGGCAGCATAGGGCTTTAGGAATAGCGCTGCAGTGGGAGAAGCCCCACAGTGTGCTCAGTGGAAGCAGCAAGGTGGGCGGCTGTGCACCCGTGTGCGCCTCTTGGGGCTTAGGGAGGGGCCAGCTGCGGGCGTGTATGTGTCCTGTACGCGCCTGTGCACGCCTGTCTGTGGATGGTGGCTCTGCCCCAAGGCCGGGGCACAAGCATGTTCCAGTGGAATTTTGTTGACAAAAGTGCACGTACTCCCTACTCAGAATGTCTTCTTGGTATGTGATTTCTTTTTTTTTTTTTTTAAGATTTTATTTATTTATTTGACAGAGAGAGAAACCACAAGTAGGCAGAGAGGCAGGCAGAGAGAGGGGGAAGCAGGCTCCCCGCCGAGCAGAGAGCCCGATGCGGGGCTCGATCCCAGGACCCTGGGATCATGACCTGAGCCGAAGGCAGAGGCTTAACCCACTGAGCCACCCAGGTGCCCCTGTAATTTCTTTTTATTTAAAAAATTTTTACTGCATGCAATGTGATATCCTCGTTCAGACCCTTGACCAGAAGGGGGACATTACTAGAAAAACTGACCTTGCCTGAGCACAGTCGGGACCGTAGTGATGTGCCAGGGCAGAGTTCCTCGTGTCCACAGATGTCCCATGCAAGCACAAGATGCCGACATGCCCCGGGTGAGGGCCACATCTCAGCTCTCTGGTTATCTTCGCAACTTTCTACAGATTGAAAATGATTCCCAGATTGAAAATTCGTTCAGCTCTTTATTTTCGTGCAACCTGTCAAAGCGCATCTGCCCAGTTGTCGCATCAGAGAATGAACAGATTTGGAAAGTTAAAGCTCTTTCCCTCCCTCCTTCCCTCTCCATCCAGGCCGAAGAATCCCTTCCGCCGACACCAACCCGCCATCCGGCGGCAAAGGCTTCAAGCTCCGGAGACAGCCGTCCGAGCCCCAGCGGAGCTGCTGCTGACCGGGCCTCGGCCTCCCAGACTTGCTGATGAAGTAGGTGGTCCCGAAAGTTAACAGGAGACCTGGGGTCCCTGCCGGCAGATTCCGCCTCTCCGGTTTGGGTCTTCTTCATGCAAACAGGACTTGGAGAAATTGGCCAGTTCCACTTCCTCTCTGGAGGCCACGGCACTAATGTTTCAGTGTGAGGACCTCCGGCCGGTCATGAGTCTGGTGTGCACCGGGACCGCACCATGGGCTTTTGACCTTGCTGAAGAGGAACATGTAATTGTATGGACGGTAGGGTTAAATTGTTGAGTAGTTTTGTAATCAAGATTTTATGTAACATTTGTAAAGGGAAAATTAGCACTTTCGTGGTTCTTGAGGACAAAAAGACCTTGCAGAGATGGTAATTTCCTTGGTTTCCCGTTACCACTGTTAGAGGGAATCGTATCATTTAAAATGTGGTTGGTGATTGTAAGTGGAGGGCTGGCAATCATTATTGGGAGCTGAACTGGATTATTTATAGGACTGAAGGAAACAACTCTGTCCCCACCATCTCTAAAGCACTTGTCATTGAACACTTTAGCCCCTGATACATACAGTAACTTAACAACGGTAACAGCAGAGGCATAGCTCACCCGAGGTTTGCATTCCGACCTCGTCCTGTATGTGTCAAAAAAACACATTACTGGCCCCTTTTTAAATAAGCTCTCGTGATGAAGGTGGTGGTGGTGGCGAAGCTGCCTGGGAGAAATCGGGCTGCATACGTTTGTGCTGACTAGCAGCGGTTTAAAAAAGAGGAAGAAGAGAGTAAAGAAAGTGGTGTAAATGCTGTCAATTTTTTATTTAACCCAGATATTTTGGTGGGGAAAACAGTTATCTGTTGCTTAGCATATGTAAAGTTGTAGTCTATATTTATGAGACCATGGCTTAAAGATTATAAATTATGTAAATACATGAATAAATTCTATGTTTCACCCAACACTCCATTTAATCTCGCAGCCAGTGTCTTAGTGTGCCCACCCACCTCTCAGCCTGTCTGCGGGGGGCTCTGCCGCACATTTCTGTCGGGCGAGAGCACAGAGCGCTTGGCTTACAGTCTTTGAAGAGGTCTCTGCCTCGCCTTGCACAAGCCCCTCCCTCCCACATCCCATCTGGAAATCATAATAAAGACATATGCCACTTTGACAAGCCTGACTAGCCCTTCCTAGCCTGGAGGTAAAAGATGACGCTCCAAGTTCAAGTCATTTCACCTGGTCTTGGCAGTAAGTTTCTTGTAGCATTTAGCGCGACCCCGGACGAGTGTTTCCACGAGCTCTCCTTGTTACCGATTCAGCTTATCTTTCCGTTTCCTTTATTCCCCTGCCTCTGTCAGTGGTTAACACTCTTTCCCTCAGGGAGCCTAATGAGGTTTTTAATATAATCTAAAAATAAAGCGCTGAAGTGAAGTTGGTGACAATTTGCTCCTGGTCTAATTTGGCGCCCTTCCAACCGGAGTGTTGTAAGGGAAGGAAATTTACAAGATTGAGTAGGAAATGAAACAGCTTGAATTTCCAACTCAATTGTGTTTTCAGAGCTCTCGCGGACTGAAGAGCTGGAACTTCGAAAAACAATGGTTATTTCCCTATGCCCCCCACTTGATGCGGGTAGATTTTAATGGGAAAATTATAACTCAGATTAAGTAAAAAGCGATTCCTTTTTCCCTGGTGTATATCTTGAGCATTTGAAATTATTTATTCTCTTACTGAAATCGTATGGAAGGAATGTAGTTGGGGAAAATTCTAACATTTTGTTTAAAATACGGGCAGACTTTATACCCTCCCAGCATCTTGCTCCCTTCCCACCATGAAATGAGGAAGCGGTAAGAGAAAACACATGGTCCTAAGGTGGGCTCTCGACACCTGAAGGGGGTTGCATCTGCTTTCCCATACATGCAGATGGGTCAGGGCATCTGGCCTCGGCCCTGGTGTGTGTCCCTAACATTCCCACTGCTGGGCCTCCATCTCCACGACAACAAACAAAATAAAAACAAAGGGTGCTTGACTGACCACCGAACAGGCGGTGCATGGGTGGCCCTTTCTGTCTTATTTCACCAAAAGATGACGCACATCTGTGACCTTCGCAGTTTTCCCTCCAAACCTGTCAGCCACTGTCGATGATTCCCTGCGATCTGGGCACCTGGGGAAGGCCATGGGCTTCCATGCCACGTCTTACTGGTGAGGCGTCAGCCTGCCTCTCATCGTGTCCCCACGGTCCCTGCATTCAGCCCAGAACAGAGCTGGCTCTTCAGGCCCTCCTTGGCTATTCTTTCTTCACGGCTTCTCAGGCTCCTCCCCATTTGTAGAGAGGGCTTCTGTTCGCTTCTGGCCACGCGTTTTAGTCCCAGAACGAGTGACAGGTGGGTGGCTTGTGCAGCAGCGCTGCCTTCCCGCCTTCTGGGGCCTCTTCTCGTCTGCCCTGGTTCTCATCAGACTGTCTCCGGAATCCACAAGACCCTCTGCTCATGCAGTGCTTCTCCCCACTGGCAGCAGCCCGTGGTCTCGGATCCGTGTAACCCGTACCCCGTGAAAACAGGGAAATGTTTCCATTTGTTCGGTCCACTTGTGTGACGCAGAGCTGGAGGTTAAAGGCAGAACCAGTGTTTTATTTTGAACATGCTTTGGATTAATAACCTGACCAAACAGTGGCCCAATACACATTTCATACGTTCTCAAGTTACTCCTTATGGGAAAAAGCTAGATTTCAGAGGAATTGGGACATAGCCCATCTATAAAAATCTTCTTTTTGGTTCCCTTCTGAGAAAGGGCCATTTTGAAAAAACTTTGGGGACTGAAAAGAGAAAAATCATTAATTAGCTGCGAGTGTGTATTGATTCCTCTCAGAGAAATTGAAGTGAGCTCTTAGCAGGTGCCCAGTCCTAGGAACCATCCGTCTCCAGAACTCTCCCTTCACACAAGTGTTCTCCGATTCTGTGATAACTAATTAACCATCATTTGGTGATTAAAAGAACATAAAGTAAGAGTATGATTAAGTGTCCTTCATTTTAAACTCTCTTTAAGAAGTGATTAGGGAGAAGTACCTATCGCAGGCCCTTCTGGTTCCAAATGAAACCTCCATCACCTGCTTTTCAGCCACAGGCAGGCTAAGTGCTGCGCAGAGCGGCTGAGAGGGTTGGTTCCTTTAAATTAACACACTTGCTGTTGCCCGTTTGTGATTTTGGTTGAAGCGGATGCCTCCGGTATCCGAAGGTCGGAGCCTTTTGTATTCGAGGCCTGACCTCCCTGGAGTGGGCTGTTGCCCTTCTCAAGGCAATCATTTTTCATTATTTTTTAAGTATATAAAAAAGGAAGGAAGGCCACCTGTAATTTTAGAATGTCTCTTTAAGTCTTGTATTTTTTGTTTTGTTTTGTTTTCCCTCAAGAAGGAAAACAGGTCTAGGAGACCTTCTAAATTAAACTCTGGGAGCTAGAGTCATGAAAATGTCCTTTGGAGAACGGCTCCATGGCTTTCCTGGAGATGTCAAGCCAGAGTCTTGGCACCTTCCCGGCCGTGTGTCACAACAGACAGGCTCGACTCCGATCACGGTGCACTGATTGGCATGTCGGCCCCGGGGCTTGAAAAGGCGTTTGCTCACCATTAGATGCGTCCTTTCTATCCGGTCGTGGGTGACTTGCAAAAGAGGTTATATAAATGGATACAAGCATTTTTTTTCTAGTCGTTTTTTTCAGAACACACTGAGAACATGAGTCATGGTCCCATGGTTGTATAAGACGGAGGTGCAAAGTGTATTACATATGACAGCTAAGCCCCTACACATTCAGATGCTTTGCAGGAACCTGTCTGTAAAAGTAATGAGGGAATCCTTTAGCCCCTCAAATCTGACACTTACTAGGTACCAGCGTCAGAACACCGGGGCATTGAGGGGAGGAGGACAGCCCCCGCGCTCAAGCTGGCTCTCTTCTCTAAACTCCACAGTCTGTACATGTTCTTCCTGACCCTATAATGAAAGCTGAAGACCACGATAAGCTAGATGGTGTGAACCCGTGGAAAAATCTTCCTTGTTAAAATTTGTTGTAAAGGAACTGGCAGCCTGACTTCGGCTTACTGTTTGACTTGCAGAGAGAGTCTGCCTCGTGGCGGTTAAAGTATTTTTGAAAAAGGTAGAAGTGGAATGTACTTTTAAGGATCAAGCTATCATTATCTACCTGCCTTCAGTTAGCTTGGTGCATGAAAAGTTCAACGATTCACGGTGATGTTTAGGAGACTTACCTTAACTCTACAGCACGGTCATTAAAAAAACAGTCCAAGTAACAGATGTGGCCAGGAGATACACCTTATATGCATAGTTTTAGAAAAGGGAGGTCCAGTGGAATTCTAGCCTAGGCGTGGAAGAAACGACCTCTGCCAGTTTCTCTTGACCGCAGAGTTACTTGTCTTGACTTCCAGTAATAGAAATCCAGGCAATTTGATTATCTGATTTGCAAGAAACATTAATGGAATTCTGGGGCATTTGTCCTGTTTTATGTGCAAATGAAAATGTAAAAAGTATTAGAAGGGTATTACATTTTTCAGGAGCCTCCACTTTTTCAATCTAAGAGAATGATAAGAGAGACCTGGCGTGATGAAGTTTCATTAGACATAACGAAGAAAGTGAATAAATAAAACCAAGAATCCCCATATTTCTTGGTTTGTCCTTCAGGATGCTCTGAATATATAGCAAAATGATTTACTTTCCAAATCTAGAAGGACTTCCAGTAGCATAGATCAACTTTAATTTGATGGTCTGCACCATCAGAAATAACTAATATCTGTGTTCTTGCCTTTTAGAGTATAATCAATTATAGATGCTAGAATATTTTTGGCTTCAAAACAAAAGGATTCAGAAGTTTAATAAAAAAGAAAAATTTTAAACCTTCCATCTTCTCCTCTTATCACATTGAACATTTTAGATAGTAAGATGAGGACGTGTCATCCGTGGATACTGGAATTAAAACCATGGAGTCTTAACAAATTTAAGGGAAAAACTATTTAATTTATTACTAGCTCATTTTCAAATCTGTGTGGTGCCCAATACCTCATCAAAGCGCTTCGTAAATGAAGCAAACCAAATTCTGGATAGCTTTCCATGAACAGGAATTCAAGTGCCCAGAATTCAGCTAATAAATGGGAAACCCTAAGACAGTAATGATTTTTTTAAAAACCCTTCTTTAATTGGTATTTTTGAAACTGCAGTTTCTTAATGTTCTTCTTAATCATGCAATAGAAACAAAACATGCTGGTTTTGATGCCACTTCTAGATTCAGGAACGTGTCACCATTTCTGGAAGCAGATTGTTTAATGCAGTACTGGGAAGGAGATCCTCTTCAGTACAGCATATCGCATGGAAGGCCGATAGTCTTTACGCAGAACTGAAATTGCCCAGGAAACTCCCAAGACGTCTTAAGTCAGGGTGTAGAGATTCCCAAGACGTCTTAAGTCAGGGTGTAGAGAATGGAGCATGACTGCACCTTGGGGCCTTGTTCTCACATCGTTTTTCCTTTACCAATTTTTTTATCAAATTTGTGCTTGAGTAGTGAGTTGTACCCACCCTGGAAAATGGTGAAAGCAAGGCTGAAGTTTGTGTACCTCTGCTGACTTCGCGTGTGAGGTTATTACAGAGTTTATGGAACTTTTTCTTAATAGGGGTCATGCACGTGATGTCAGGGTGACGGGTCGGTTCAGCACGGGCGGAGGGAATTATCGGCAGCTGGCTCGTCGGAGCAACTGATTGGTGGCTCTATTTTTAAACCATTTGTTGTCTGGTGTAGACAGAGCTGTATTGGCCTGGAAAAGATTTTTGTTTTTTTACTCTCATCCAGCTCAGTCTTTGCATCATTTCACCTTATGAGTCATTCACATCATTGTCAAACATGCCTCTGACCTTCTTAAGAATTGATGTCTTGCCTTCTCTGTGATCGAAGCAGACTCCTTGCCTTATTTCATTTTGCGGCGGGCTCTCCCTTAAAGACGCACGGCACCAGCCACCTCCTCAGTGCATGCGACATTCCTTCCCGGGCCACCTTCCGTGGTGGCGGCAGTGGGCTCCGGTCCCCTAGGCCCGGCCAGCGCCGATCGCCATGGGCAGACGCAAAGGCTGATTTTGGGTGAGGAGCTCCCGTCTTTCCAGAGAGCGAGCGGGCAGCACTGGCTTCCCGTGGCAACAGGACTGAGTGACAAAATAGTCTTTTTGAGTCGGTGATGAGGTGCTCTAAGTGTCAGAACATTGCTTAGTCTGTAACAGAGCACTTGGTAAAAGGACGTAAAGATACAAACCTAAAGTCTTAAAGAGAAACAGCTGCGGAGATGAGCCTAGACCTTTAAAAATAAATAAATGCAAGCAAAGCTGTCTTACCAGCAACTCTCACTTCTCCTAAGAATGTCATGCCTTTCAAGACCCGATACGAGGAGTAAGATAC